ACAGGCGTGTGCCACTGTACCCAGTGAGGTTTCTAGAACACTCTGATCTGCAGTGTGTGAGTTGTGTCCATGGCGTGTTTCATGTAGCACTTGTGTTTTAGAAAGATCGTCTGCTACAGGTGGGGAGAACTGGGAGGGGTGGGCCAGAGGTGAAAGGGCCGTATGAAGGAGCCCCCGGTGAGGACACAGCGGAAGGTGCCATCTACCAGCAGGAAGAGCCCTCATAGCTCGCTGCCCTGAGACTGCCCTCCAGCTCTCAACTGTGAGAAATCAAGGCCCAAATCAGATCACTGGTTGTCTCAGCCACTGAGTCTGGGGGTTTGTTACAGCAGCTCGAATGCGCTAAGGTGGGATTCACAGAGTGAGCCGGTTTTCCTCCGATGATCTTCTGGAGCTGACGGGGACCCCAGGTCCACGGAGCCTCTGGCTGTAAGTGCTCCCCCGAGTGGGCAGAGAGAGCCCACAGAGGCTGCGTGGGGTCTCACAAGGGATGGGCAGCGAGGCTGGCCTCCACAAGGACTGGCTCTCTCTCTTGCTCCAGGCGGCCACCAGCTCCTGTCCAGGTCTGTGGCTGGGCTAAGTGGGGGCTTGCAGCAGGTGCGTCCTGTGCACCACATAGCACGGGTGCCCCACAAGCTGTGGCCTCTGCTTTCCAGAGTGCCCTCCCTGTCCTCTCCAGTGCTGACCAGCTGCCGGCGCAGGGTGGCAGAACACCCACCCAGCAGTGAGCAGGTGGTGGCCTGTTTCTTACTCCCTGGGGACCAATATCTGATGTCCTCGGGTGATGGGTTACAGGCAGACAATCTGAAATCACCCCGAAAGGTCATCGACGAAACCCCAAAATGTGGCTGCCAATGGAAACATCCTGCTTCTGATCTGTTTCCACTCGGACTGCTCGGTCCCACCTGTCTCAGCTGGGCCTGATTTGTCAGGTGTCCATTAGGACCACCCCGAGTGGTCTGTCCTGCAGCCACTGAAGTGCTTGCTGCCTTCTGCAGCCAGTCCCCCATGTGGCTACCCACATGCCCAGCATCGCAACATGCACTGGGCATAAGCTACACGAGATTCTTTGGCTTACGAATAATATAACATTTAACTCAACCTCATTGAAATAATTTGGTTTATTGAGCTGCGTGATTAGGAAAAAAACCGACACAGACTAGATTTAGGGCATGGTTTGATGTGATTTCTGGATCCTTCTCTGGGATCATCTTCCCTTTGTCCCCTTTAAGTTATAGTCGGTCCTCAGATTGGCTTGCCTCATGGGTACAAAATGGCTGCTAGTAACATGCTTTCCTGAGGATATTCCGGAGGAGAGAGTGTAGTTTCCCAAGGTGTCAAACTGAGCTCCTGACCTACGTTCTGATGGGATCACATGGGAAACAGGCCTGTGGTGGAGAAATGCTAGGTGCCCAGTTCTCTGCCAAGAGAGATGCTAGTTGATTAGCACCAAGCTAGCGATTCCCAAACTGCATGGCGGTGAAGCAAGGGAGCGTCGAGATGTGTGCTGGAGGCGCCCTGTCCTGGGTGAGGATTGGGACTTGAACTGGACCTTAAATCAGGGGTGGCAAGTTTCACAGTCGTCCTAGACCCATCTGCCTCCTCTAGCAAGGACAGAGGCTGGTTCCTACCAGGTTCCTCCCTCTAATGTGGCTCAGCGCGTCCAGCGGGGAGAACAGGGGTCGGTGAGCAGGACGTGGCCCCGGGAGGGGAGAGTGCAAACCCTGGAGGACTCTTCCGCTGATGAGCCCACGTTTCTCTTTCCCTGCAGAACATTGCTTTGATTGGCTAATTGCATGCTGTAAGATCAGAGTGAATTCCTCGAAGAAGCACTCAGACGGGAATGATTGGAGGTAGAGTCGTTTCATGAGTGTTTCTAAAGATGGCGGATGAAGAATAATGATAGGAAATCATTAACAGGTATTTTCAGCTGCTTTAAAAATTAAATCTGCTCCACGGCGTGTTTCACAGCTTCTCGGCCACTGTGCAGGGCCTGGGGACATTCGCTAAGAGGTATTCCGTACCCGTGCTCCTCTGCAGTAGCTGACGGCGGTGCTCGGCATCCAGAAAGCTCCAGGCTCCAGCTCCTTAGGAGGCGGCGTGAAGGAGGGTGAGGCTGGTTCTGCGGCAGAGAGCCACCTGCTGCCGCTCTGGGCACGACAGGAAAGGGGCCACCTGCTCCACTCGCCCTCCAGGCTTCTGGGAAACCTTTCCTTCTCCGTTGTGCTGGAGAAGCCAGCTGGGGTCTCCTGTGGGGGACATCTACGTCGGGCCCCCTCTGCCTCCCTGCAGAAGGCGGTGCCAAGGCACCAGGCTGTGAGCGGGGCCAGGAGGAGGAAGGAACAGGTCCTGCGCTCTGTCCCACAGCCTGTAATGCCACATCGTCACAGATCACAGCACACACTGTCTCCATGGTGACTGTGCAGCTCCACAAACCTTGGTAGGCACTGAACTTACACAGTGCCTAGAAGGGAAGTGTCCATTCCAGCAGCCTAAGCACCGCGGTACTTTCAGGCTGGGAATCCTCGGGGCCAGCTTTAATGGGCTTGAGGTCAGTGGCCTCCTGCATTCCCCAAGCAGAACCTCGACACGGAGCACGGAGGCTGGGGGGAAGGGGTTTACATCTGGAGCTGATTCACAGTCAGGTCTGGGGGCTAGAGCTGCTGCTGCTGCAGGACCTCGGACTCTTCTCAGAGGCCCCAGCAGCAGCCCTCTGCCTGAGACAGTGGATAATGAGTGAAGGAGGCCGGGAGAGGCCTGCGTGCCTTCCCAGGAGGGAGGTTCTCGGCGGCTGTCCCCAGTGGGCAATGGGACCCGGGCCGTGCAATGGGAGGCAGTGGCAACAGCTGGGGGCCTTGTCTCACGTGGCAGGCAGTGTCCAGGAGCTGGCCTGTGCAGTGTGGCCAACACTGTTGCTTGTCAATATCCAACTGTCACCTTCCTGGGCTCTTACGGACTGTTCTTCCCACACCCCTGACAGTTAGGCAGGGCCATACGGCTTGTTCTGGCCTGTGACCTGTGAGCACAGCGACGTGAGTCACCCAGGTGACACAATGACCCTGGAGGTTTCTGGTCACCCTTGGTCCAGACATGAGGTCTTGACTGTGTGGGCGGAACAGCGAGACCAGAGCACAGAGATGACGTTCCTTCAGCGGGCAGCTGGCTCACTGCCTGCCCACAGAGGATTTTACGGGAGACTGAGAGCAGTGTGGTGGCTGTAAGTCACGAGTCCTGTGGGAGTCCCTGCTCGAGGAGATAGGGAAATAGTAACCCATCCCCAGCCCCTGGGTGGACTGGATGATGTCTGCCCATGGGGGAGGGCGGGTCCTTATGCCATCTACTGATTCCAGAGCCAATGTGGTCCAGAAACACCCGCAGACACATCCAGAATCAGGTGTGCCAGCTTTCTGGGCAGCCCGGGGATCAGACCAGTGGACACATAAAGCCAACCAGCTCATGTTCCTGGCCTTGTGCAGCAACCTCCATCATCTGTGCCAGGTGCATAAAGATGTGCACCTGGGCACCTGAAAGGAGAAGGGGCCCCGTCCAGCACAAGGCACGATGGAGCCATTAAACTAAAGACAGAGGGAAGTGACCAGATGAGGTCCTAAAAGGTATCATAAAAAGGCAGAAGAGGAGGCAGATGAGCAGGTGGGTGAGTAGGGAGGGAGGGGAAGAGGAGGGTGAGAAGGGGGAGGGGAAAAAAGGGTGAGAGAGGGGAAGGGGAGAAGGAGGGTGAGAGGGGGAGGGGAGGAGGATGGTT